TGAACATGTATGTGCATGCGCATTCACACGACGGTCCTCCCTGGTGCGTATGCGCAAGCTCGTCTCGTCCACCTCGATTTCTGTGAACTGACCGTGCTCTGCGTACCATTGTATGCAGTGCTGCTCCCCACACGCCCCCTGGTCACTCTATGATGTTGCGAACCTGCCCTGGTCTCCACCTGACTCTGCAAACAATGCGTGTGCCGCCTGGTCGGCGTATCCCGGAGACAGGCTTGCATTCGCCTCGCGCCCGTCTCGGACCCCGTTTTATGTATTTCTCGCTCGCTGGTCCAATCGCATGTTGCTTTCCCTGCAAGAAGTTCAATCACTTTCCTCCACCATAGGGAAGAATAACAGCGAGATCATCGCAACCACCACCAACGAAGCCTCAACAAAGCAGGCGCTGACGCCCAGCTCCCACGAAGCATCCATAACGTCAGAGGTGAAACATTTCAGACTATTTCAACGTACAGCCTCCATGCGAGTGTGCCCGTATGGGTGCCGAACTCAGGTTACGATGTATTGGCTTGCGAATGTTTACACGCATCACACACAGTACAGTGTAGTTTGCGCGCGCAGTGTGACCGAAAATCTGTACGACTGTGCGCAAGGTCGAATTATCCAGTAGCGCATCGCAAGGGCGTACCCCGCCCCAACATTACGTGTGCCCTCCTGCCTCTGCCTTCGCGACGCCCTGCAGCTGTTCGGGAGCATGAGGCCCCGACTAGTGGTCGCTTCGGTTTCCCCTGCCTGTTTGTTGCAAACATGTCCGCGCCCTCTGAAGTGGCCCTGGTGACCTCAACACGCAACACGCAAGAGATTGCAAGCAATTCCCTTCCATGAACATCTGGTTGCTCACATATGGACACCCGAATCGCACATAGCTGAAAGGTTGACCATCCAAGACCCTGGAACGCACATAATGGTTGCTCGCAACGCTACGGAGAAAAACGAGAGCCCATCGGTGAATGCTGGTGGATTTCTCAATATGGTAGAAGTCCTGGTGGAATCGGATTCTGGATCACGGGTTTTACAGGTGATGAACTTTTCATCCTGCATGTTTCTGAAACCCTGGGGGAGGGCCCTGGGAACCCAAACACAGCAAACAAAAACTCTGGGGACCCTGTCCTCGAAGACCCTTGACATTCTTTTCGCAATTCGGCGGTGAACGAGGGGGGGGAGTGAGAAGGAGAAAGCCTTCTCGGAAGGCTCGGAAGTCCCCCGGCCTTCTGAGAAGTTTTGTTTAGCCTTCTCCGAGGACATACAAACACTTCTCAGAAGGCGCGAGGGTTTCTGAGAAGTCCCGCCGCCTTCTGAGAAGGCCTTCTCGCTCTCACTTCCCCCCCCTCGCTCTCCTCCGACAACACCCTTGACCCTTTCTTCGCAATGCTCAGAATACAATAAAGCCGGGGCTGAGTGGAGAGGACGCGCGAGAGGGCACAAGTCGCTTCGGAAGGACACCCTGCCACAGGCATGCAGGAGGCATGGGCCGCGAAATACGGGACACAAGGGCACCCTTTGTTGGGCAGGGGCGACCTACTAATCAGCCTCTACTGCACCGCCCTCGCGGCACACATAAAACAAGGCTAGGATCGGGATAAATCGCTCCAGAACGTTCCGGAGCGCTCTCAGAGTGTTCCGGAACGCTCTGGAGCGGCCGCGGCGCCCAATACATCCTCCAAACCCGCCGATTCTCAGAGATCTCGAGTTATCCCGATCCGATTTTGTCCCGATCTTCGCGTCGTTTTGCGACACGCCTGCCCCGCACCGCGGCGAGCCCCCGCAGCCGGCCCCCCGCTCGCCGAGCAGAAGACCAGGCCGGCGTAGCGCCTGAGAGGCGCCCGCGCGCTCTCGCCGCCGCCGCCCCATTCTCCGCAGGGCAGGCGGGGAGACGCGAGACTCGGGACGGATCACCGACGAGGACGAAGACGACGACGACGAAAAGGACAACGACGACGACGACGACGACGTCGACTACAACGACGACGAGGACCACGACGACGACGACGACGAGGACCACGACGACGAGGACGACGACGACGACGACGATGACCTCTGCGTGCCGCCGCCCGCCGCCGTCGTGCACTAAGCACCCTCTGGGACGCAGAGAACCCACCCGCAGACGGATCACCCCGACGCGCGAAGCCATTTAGAGACGCACCCGCATGAGGAATTTAACAAGGCAAGGCTGGTTCAGAAACGCCCGAAGCCGCTTGATAAGCGCCAGATGTCGGGTCCAGGCGGTTTTTGCTCCTGATTGGCCTGACGGGGCCATCATGAAAATGACGAAACCAAGTCTGAAATTTGACGCGGACTCCCGCTGCAGACGTCCCACGCAAACTGGACCGTCGAAATGCAAGACGCGCTCGTCAAAAAACGTAGGTGAACTCGAATTCTGGCTTACTCGATTCTTACGTTTCCCCGAATCGAAAGTGGACGAAGATTCGGCCACCGATCCAAGAGGCAGATCAGCGCCAACAATTTTCCTGGGGAGGGATGAGCGGCGCATTTCGGAAACCACTTGCGCCACGTGCTCGAAAACGGTCGAAATCCGGTGAAGTTTCGTCCGCGTTCGCCTTTCACAGGAGCCCCGTCCCTTCGATGTCCCAGCACTTCTACGAAGCGTTGCGGACCCTCTCCTCTGGGCCCATCGCTCGGCGAGAGTCAAGTCGCAGACCAAGTCAACATTGTGATATGGATGGGCGCGCGGCGACAAGATATCTTTTACTCTATCACGCGGCGAGGCGAGGCGTAGCTTTCAGGCCAAGGGCCCTGCATAATAATAAGGGCTCGGCCTCGTTCGGGTCAAAATCCTGGTTTCGAAGCTCGAATGGTTCTGAAACTTCTGAAGTTTTTGAATGTTTGCAACTTATGAAACTTTTGAAGCTTCGGCGGCGTTGATTCCCAGCGCGTTCGCACCAGGCCGTCCAAAACCAGTTCGCTAAGCAAACATCAGACGGATTAGGCGCATGAGGGGAATTTGGGGACCAGGGGGGGGGTCCAGAAAGGGGGGGTGGGGCGGGGCACACGCTGTGTAAAACATACACTTCGGGCCGAATTTTACCCCCCCCCCTTGTTTATTGAAATTGGTGGGGTCTAACATTTGGGTGGGGATCTGATTTTTCGTTACTGTAAAAATGCGTGCAGCAGGGCAGCTGGAGTGAACTGATACATTCATATACATAGGGGGGTGCTGAAAAAGGAGGCAGCAACCGTAGAACTGAAAAGGGGCGTCGCGCCAGGCCGTCCAGGCACAGCTCGCCAGCGAGATCTGGCGGGGATAATGAGCGGGCTGGTTCGCCCAAGAGGGCAGGCATACATGAAATAGTAGTTGCGATCAGACTGAGCAGCCGTCATTCGCCCGTGTATCGGCGCCGCCCGATGAAAAAGGGGCCCCATGAGGGGGTCCATCCATTTTCCTGGACCTCCGCCCGCCCATCTTCTCGTCTCGCCCGCCGCCGTTCAGGCTCGAAACGACCGCGCTTGGCAGGCTAGCTCGCGCCAGCCTGGGCTCGTTCGCGCGCCGCGCGCCGAGGTGCGACGGCGGTGTGCAGCGATGTGTTCCTGAGCGTGGGGAAGGCGAAAAGGCGGCGTGAGGGCGAAGCGCGGGGGGTACATCGCTGGGGAAGCAGGGTGCGAGGCGATCCATATCAAAAGCGCGCGCATGGCGCATCCTGCATTTCCCATCTTCGGTTGCGCGTTGGCCGCAACATCCGTTCTCTGCAACGGGGCCCGCATCAGGTTGTGGGGGTCGTTCGACCCCATGGCGGCAATGTGCTTCAACGTGGACGAGTCCCAGACGAGGAAGTCCCGCATGACGCTTATGGCCGACAAGCTGATCAGGCCCGTGGACATTGGAGTGAGCAAGCGGCTCAAGATGATTTGGAAGCCCAAGGCGCTCGCAGAGAAAACGGAGAAGCCCGCCGGCGCGCCTGGCGATGAAGCGGCAGGCGAGCACTCGCAGGTATTATCTCCCATGTATTGTATAATGTGTGATGTATGTATATATTGCACTATCTGTTCTCATAACTATAATTTACAACATCAACTTTAAATAGTGTAAGATGTAGACTGCATTGCATTATATACTGAATGTTTGTGATGTTATACAGTACGATACACACTAACTAGGTTGTATTATATGGTGTACGATGTACGTTGGCAACTGTTGTATGTCGTATTATTGTCTGAAGTATACATAGAATATACTGTATATGTATTCGATATGACATTATATATATGATCTATGTTATACATGGTATCACTTCTGGTAATTATTTACAATATATTTCAATTTAGTGCTTTTAAAGCAGTCGCATGTATGTGTATGTACATATACGATATGCACCAACAGCGTGTACACTATTGAATATACACTAGTACTGACTATATGTTCACAACATAATTTTAAAAGAAGATATGGTGCATGTTCAGAACTGGCAAATGTTTCACAAGTTTCACACATTCCAAAAGTTTCAAAAGTTGTAGCGAATCCCTGGGTGCATGTGATTTGTTGGTTTTGTTCGGTTTGCGTGTGTATCCTGGATTGTCTGAAGCTTTTGAATATTTTGGGACTCTTGAAACCTTTGAAATTTTTTATGTGTGAAAGCTTCGACTCTCAACAACTACAAGAGTGCCAGAAGCATCAAAGTTCCAAACGCTTCAAAAGCTTCAACCGTTCCAGTAGTCTGCTAACTTCAAGGGGTTTGAAACGTGCCATACATATCAAATATTTCGAAAAAGGGTTCAAAAAAATCAGCAATTTCAAAGATTTCGCCAGTTCCCAACGTTTCGAATGTTTGCGAGGCTGTCAGAAAGTTTCAGAAGTTTCAGAAGTGCCAAAGGTTCCAAAAGTGCCCAACGGTTCAACAGTTTCCCACGTTCTAACATGTTCAAGAATTTCAAAAGTTCCAGAATTTTTAAAAGTGCTAGAAGTTTCAGAAGTTGCAGAAGTTTCAAAAATTCAAAGTTTCACAAGTTACAGCAGTTTCAAAATTTTCAGGATCTCGACCCGAACGACGCTGAGACCTATACAACTGAACAAAGAAAGCGGCTGGAGTAAAGGGTGAGAGCAGCAAGGGCAAAGGCATGGAAGAAGTGGGGATCTCGGCCTCTGCGGGGCTTCCATCTGTCTGACAGGGTCCTTCGGTCCCGCTTGCAAGCCCTCGGGGGCGAGCTTGAATCGCTCTCCTCCTGGTCGCCCCCTATGGCGTCCAGAGCGGTAACCATCTTAAACCACTCGCGGCTGCATTCGGCGATTTAGCGGGCGCCGGGAGCGGCGTCCCCACCTAAGCACAGGCAAACGGCCTTGCCGTCTTGCAATCCGGCTGCCCCAGGGCACGCAACGGGTGCTGCCACGCGCAGCGGCAGAACATGCATTCTAGCAAGCTCTTGGCGTTGGCTCGCGGCCAGTGTCGTTCATACTCGGTGAGAAAACAAATAGCAGGGTGGTCGTCGCCATCTGAGAAGGAAAAAACTGCGCACACCGAGTGGAGCTACTTGGCTGGTGGGTGCCGGGCGCTGCAACTTCGCTCTTGCAATGCGGACTTGCGTAGTCGGCCGCCAGACGTGGCGGTCCTGGTGTAAAAAAAAGCAGCAACGGAGCAGAGCGGCGGCGCAGAGCGGCGGCGTGCTTCACGTTATCTTCCTGGCAGTTTTCGCGGGCGTGGGCCTCTCAGCCCCCGTGATCTGACTCCACCTGTGCTGCAGGTCCCAGCGCAGGCTGTGGTGCATGCTCGCGGAAATCAGGCGCACTGGTCATGTGGTTCTGGCGACGCCACGATGTGTGCTTTTTGCGGGTCCTGCAAGTAATGTGCACGGAGTGCGGTTTGTGCGCGGCTCGAATGTTGCGCTGATTGGTGACGCGCTCGTGCATCTCCATGGGCGCAACCGTGTCGATCCATTCCATGAAGCAACACTCGCCGATGATGAGCTGGCAACCGTGGTGGGCGGTGATGGTGCCCTCGGTCCCCGTGGCGACGCGGGCGCAGCTGGCGCCAGCGCTGCCGAGCGGCTGGCTGAGGATGATGACTGGCTTTGCGCGGCAACAAGCGCTGGTGGAGAAACCGTCGGCACATCTCCATCGGCGTTCTCGGGGATCGTGGCTGGCCTCTCATGATGACGCCGGCCAAGGTGGCGTCCATCCCATCCTGGATGGTGTCCATTCGCGATGTCTGATGCCTTCTCTTCGCTCCTCAGGTCATCGCGTAACCGGGTATTCTGGCGCATCACAAACCACATCGTAGCAAACAACTGCATCCAATAAGGATGCCAACCATCAGAAACATCGTGATGAGTTTCCACGTGTGCCAATAATAGCTGGCGTCAGGTATCGTAGGCGCAGGCGTGGGCTGCCCTTCGACGCGGCCGGGGCAGGTCGCGACGCGCGCGTGGCTGCCGCGTTCCGAAGCTATGCTTCTTTGCGCCGGGGAAGGCGAGCAACGCTTCCGTCTCCGTGATCAAGGTGAGCGCATCGGCGACCATGCTCCGTGTAGGGGTCCATGTGAGCATGAAGCGGCTGTTGGGGTCTACGGACTCCTTGGTCATTGCAGCGACGATCTGGAACCGCTTGTCGGTGGACTGGCCCACATCAGACCTAATGTGAGTGGCCAAGCCGTTACTATCTGTGCAGATCTCCCCAGGGCGTGCCTGGCTGAGGTCGTCGATCCTCTGGAGCGGCTCTTTCGACTTGTAAGCCTCCGTGATCAAGTGTTCGTCTCGGCTCCTTCGAGAGTCGCGTCGCCCTCGGCAGCCAGCGTGGACTTCGCGCAGCGCTGGACCGTGCCCGAGTGCCAGGCTGCGGGCAGGCATAGGTCATGCCGTCCTGCCAC